ACTGTCTTCCATAACAGCTGCACCAGCCTATTCTCACCAACAGTGTACAGAGTTCCCCTTTCTCCACACCCTCACCAACACTTATCTCCTCTCATTGATGACAGCCATCCTAACAGGCGTGAGGTGGCATCTCATAGTGATTTGACTTGACTTTCCCTGATGACTAGTGATACTGAGCATCTTTTCACTGTTGGCCATTTTTAGGTCTTCTTTGGAGAAATCTTTATTCAGGTCTTTTGCCCATTTTTTAATTGGGTTACTTTTTTTTTTTTGCTGTTGAGTTTGAGCTCCTTATATATTTTGAATTTTAACCCCTTATAAGATATATGGTTCACAAATATTTTCTCCCAATCCATAGGCTGCCTTTTCATTTGGTTGATTGTTTCCTTTGCTGTGCAGAAGCATTTTAATTTGATCTAGTCCCACTTTTTTATTTTTCCTTTTGTTTCCTGTGCTTTTGGTGTCATCTCCAAAAAAATCACTGCCAAGACCAATGTCAAGGAGCTTTTCCCATATTATGTTTTCTTCTGGGAGTTTTACAGATTCAGGTCTTACATTTAGGTCTTTAATCCATTCTGAATGATTCTTGTGTATATTGCAAGACAGGGTCCAGTTTCATTCTCTTGTATGTGGGTATCCAGTTGTCCCAACACTATTTATTGAAGATGCTATCCTTTCCCTATTGTGTCTTCTTACAGGCCTTGTTGAAAACTGACTGTATATGCTTGGGTTTATTCCTGGTCTCTAGGTCTCTATATTCTGTTCCATTGTTCCATGTGTCTGATGCCAGAACCATATTGTTTTAATGATTGTAGATTTGTGATATAATTTTGAATCAGCTAGTGTGATGCCTCCAACTTTGCTTTTCTTTCTCAGGACTGCTTTGGCTATTCAGGATCTTTTGTGGGTCTATATACATTTTAGAATTTTTTTCTATTTCTGTGAAGAATGCCATTGGAATTTTTGTAGGGATTAGGTTGAATCTGTAGATTGTTTTAGGTTGTATAGACATTTTAAAAATATCAACTCTCCCAATCAATGAAGACAGAATATCTTTCCATATATTTGTGTCTTTAATTTTTTCATTAGCATTTCATAGTTTTCAGTGTATAGATCTTTCACCTCTTTGGTTAAATTTATTCCTAACTATTTTATTCTTTTTGATGGTATCTTTAATGGGGTTGTTTTCTTGATTTCTTCTTCAAATAGGTTATTAGTATACAAGATTTAAATTTTTCTTAATGAGAAGAACCACTCTCAACCACTATTATCAAACATTAATGGCTTTGGAAATTAGCTTTTGCTGCAGACTTGATAATGTTTCTTAATTCCACCTAAAATTACAAGGCAAAACAGCACTCATATGTAAAACTTACACTGCAGTGACGTCATTTCAACCACAACTCATGTTGTCTGAATCACAAGTAATGTCAAGCTGCTTTACACACTTCCAGTGCTATCACACACTAAAACAAGATATTAGATCTCCATTCCCACACAGATTGGCAATGGATATATTTTCTAATCTCAAGCTATAGTTCCAGAGTGTTTGTTAAGCCTCAATGTAAGTGCAAAAGAAATTCCCATATTTCAAAATCTATTTAACTGTGCAGTTAAGACACTTCCACCAACCTTCAGTTGGAAGTGATTAATCTATAATACAAAGTAACAACATGTTAAAAGGCAAATATCAAGAGAGAAATCTAATAGCATTCTACAAATGCCTTCTAAAAGATGAATGTGCTCAATTTAAATTATATGCATACAGACTGATATCATCATTTGACAGTACCTATCTGTGTGAAAAGACATTTCAAAGATGAAATACATAAAATCTCATTCTAGATTAGTATTAACAGATAAATATTTTGTTATCTTTTTTAAAAACATTTAATTCTCAATAGTAAGCCTATATTACAAAAAATTTATATTCAATTATTATTAT